GGCGGGGCACTCCCAAAAGAGCAAAACAAAGAAAGTATAGAGTAGACACCTGAGGACACAGCAGGAAAGCAAAGAGGATAATCTGCAAAGGGAGCCCTGGCTCGTCGGGCGGAGCACAGGGCTCGACTGTCTGGCATAGCTCACGGTGAGCAGAACGTTCCCATTCTGGCTGCCCCCTCATTTCGGTCCTTTTATTATCTTATTGATCTGCTCATGAGTCGCAGCAGCCCACAGTGACTCATGTAAATGCAGAGCGATCCCTGGAAGGACAGCTCACGGGGTCTCCATCAGGCGCGGTTGTCCCCTGCTGCCCCCTTGTCCCCAGCAAGGGTGGCAGGGACTGCCTGACATCGGACGCCAGCCCTGAGCACACATCTGAGTGGCTGGCTGGGCGTGGGCAGCGCCTGGGTGCAAGGACAGTGACGCACAAGGTAGGAGTGACAGGAGCCTCAGGGAGCTCATTGCTCATCAGAAAGAAAAGCAAGCCAGCCCAGGACACTGGGTGCTGAGGGGGCAGTGGGAAGTGGGTGGGAAGCCACCGAGGCTGGTCTTGCCGGGAGGGGGCGGAGGTGAGAGAGTGAAGCCCAGGCTGGCCCTGAACGGTGGCCACCATCGGCGGCCAGGCCGGTGCGGGCGGGGTTGGGGGCGCGGGTCGTGGCAGCGTGAACCCCGCAGGCCACCCACGATCTGGACGGATCAGTCCAGTCCTCCATCGCTGATCCATGCACACTGTGTCCAAATCCTGTTTGGTCAGCTTGCACCATTTAAGTCACGGCCTCAAACCTATACGGCGTCGTCTGTGTTCTTGGTAAAAGGAGGAACTGCAGCAGATGACAACTTGGGAGTTGGTTCTCTGGTCTCTATAGTGATGCACCGCAGCTGACTTGGAAGATGGTTGGGAGTGGGGGTGCACATGTAAGCACCCGAAGAGTCACTCTACAGAGAGAAGGTGTTAAGACCAGGGAGTTGTCATTGATTCATTCAGGCTCTGCAATAAATTGCTGAAGGAATGGTTACGCACTGATTTTAAGGGTGACGTTAGGGAGGTGGGCTTCTCCAAGGGGACAGGTGTCATTTTGTTCCGGTGTGGCTCAGGTTATCTTTTCTCCATTCTAAGTTGTTTTTGTTGTTTTTGTTTTTCCCTCTCATGAGTTCGAAATGAACCTTACACAAGACTGATTGTAATTATTTGTTGTGAATGTTTAAGACATGGGAGCACCCTTTTTCCCAGGAAGCTACTAACTGGGGGGTCTTTGTTGGCCTTACTCACACTGGTGTCATCAGACACCTACCGAATTCAAGTAAAACTGGGACGGAACAGAGCATTCTGATCTTAAAGTCACACAGTATTTTTACCATGCAAGAGATGTCTCACAATCCTGCCAGTTTAATAATAAGGAAATAATGAAATGGCATCATGAAGATTACTAATACATGAATAATTTCAATAACTGGCAATTTGCTATTACATGAGGTGTTCCTTATTTCTGATACACTTGAAATATAGTCTTGTCTTTGGTGTCCTGTTTTAATGGTGAAGAAAACTATCAGGTAGCCCGAGAATATTTCTTCTCGAAGGATGAGTGCAGTGAATAGTGTATACTCAGTATTTTCTTTGACTTCTTTACAAAAGGAAGCAAGTTTCAAAGAAAATTACACAGAAGCATCTCGTAGAAGGCATGTAATTTGAAGCAACTTACTTTCAGATGCACAAATCGCAATCTTTCTCTATTCAGGTATTCAAAAGGTAACCTGCCTGTCCCACTGCTAATTAAACAACTCACCCGGAAACCAGCGAAGATGAAAATCAATATATTATTTTTATTAATATTTCTCTTAGACCTACATTGATGAAATCATCTCTCTTTAGAGATCAGCAGAAATTATGTTTTATTTTATAATGAAATCAAATCAAATACTTGCAAAAATAGAAACTTCTTAAGAGGTATGCAAGGATACAACCGTCCTTTTATGATTCATCCTTCAACTGGTGGAGGTTTTCCAAAATTTCCAGAACTATTTTATTTGTCATGATTTCCTTATAGTTTATTTTTGCTATTGCTTGGTTAATAAGAACAAACAGGTTAATTGTGGGCTAATTATAACTATCAAACATTCATGTCTATTTTTATTGTGTACCGTTTTAGAAAGGAAGGAAGAATGCAATGAGCGTTTCCCCCAAACTGGAATTGGTAGATGACCTTGCATTTGCCGAGTGAGTTAGGGCCCTTTTCATGGAGAGAGCTCAGTCTCCTGATTCGGGGATCCTGCTGCTGCCTCCAGAGTGCGAGGGGGCTTGCGGGGCGGGGCGGGGCGGGGGGGAAGCCCCCGGCCCCTCGCTGGTGTGTCATCTTCCCGTTTTTAAAATCAGGAAGATCTCTCCTGAGTCCCAAAATAATATGAAAATTATGGGGGGAAATGCCAGTCACGTCAGTTTGGATTGATGAAGGAAAAGCACTTTCCAGACACGTGAAAGGTCAGAAATCCCAGGGCGATTACGTGATGGGAAGTGTTGGGAAAGTCCCTCCAGAATATTCGGTCCGAAGTAACTGCTGTCCTGTCCTGCGGGACGGACGGTCTTTCCCGGGCGACAGTGAGGGTGCCCGTTTGTGGAAGCCGTCGCTGGAGCGCAGGAATCCTGAGATTCATTCGGATCTTGCCGGAGGCCCCCTGTGTGGTAGAATTCTGTACCCCGGGGTTGCAGATGGGAGGGAGAACCCTCGGACTCCTTCAGACCTGCGGGGAAGGTCAGATGGCAAGCTCTGCTGTTCAGTGGGAAAGATTAAGTGAAGCCCGTTGCCAAGCGCCTAGAAGGTAGCCAGGGCGCAGCTGCCAGCAGCTAAACAGTTTCGACAGCCGCAAACCCGGCAGGAAGCCCCAGCTGCCCCCGCAGGGCCTGACCGGGCCCTTCTCGTCACTGTTGGTGGCACAGCTTATATTGTAGGGCCTATAAATGGTGGTTATGGATGTCTTACCGATGAAAAACAAAATAATGTTCCAAGTGCTACAGCATTGGTGGGGGAGGGGACACCTCGAAGGGGATATAAATATGAAATACTTTAACGGGTCACACAAGTCGTGCTCCTCGTAACTCAGAGGAGCGTCTCAGGGTTGCAGAACCGCACGGCAGGAAACCAGAGGTGCGCTGCAGCGGGTTCCAAACGCTTCCAAACTTGGAGGTTTGTAAATTTAATTTAACTTCATTTATTCAATATAACAACTAGCTTTTGTTAATAAATTGACTATGATGAGTGTATTAGGCTTAGGAAAGATAAATTCATATAATGTGTTTTTACTTATACATTTCCTATTAAAATAATATACACAGGTATCTGTATATAGGTGTATGCTGAAAATCACTGTCAAAATTAGACAGCAACAGTGTTGAAGAATTCCGGAGTCAGGGAGCCTTGAGAGAAAACCCTTAGTGTGTGCACTGGGCCATAGTGTGCGCATCTGAGAGACGGACGTGTTAACTGTATCTTATGACACGGCAGCTGAAGACTAAATGGGACTACGCAGGGGTGGCCAACCCGTGGCCCACAGGCCGCGGAGGCCCAGGGTGGCTATGAATGTGGCCCGACCCAGAGTTGTCCGTGCACTCAAAACCTTTATTTTTGCTCATCAGTTTTCGTTAGTTTTTTGTGTATTTAATGTGTAGCCCAAGACAACTCTTTTTTGTTCGGTGTGGCCCAGAGACGCCAAAAGGTTGGACATCTCTGATAGGCAGTTAGCATAACGCCAGGCACATAGTATGTGCTCACGGAATACTGGCCTTATTCCTGTTATGGGAGAATACACATTGGGTATACTTTTCAGTATTTGTTTTTCCATTGCCAGTAGATTTTTTCTGCAAGTGTCTTTGTTTCACCTTGACATTTGAGGGATACGTTCCTTCTGAATAGAACTGTAGGTAGACGGTATTTTCTTTCATTGCTTAAAAAATGCCATTGCCTTGTCTTCTGACTTCCATCCATCCTTTTGAGAGGAAAACTGTCAAACTTTCCGTTGCCCACTGACAGGACTGTGTCTTTTTTCTTTGGCTGCTTCCAGTGCTTTATTTGTTTGTTTATGTGTGTTGCTTCGGTTTACAGCAGCTTTACTGTGTGCACGAGTGACTTTATATGGACCTTGTTTGAGGTTTTAAAGCTTCTTGAACTTGTGCCTCGATGTCTTTCATTAATTTGGAAAAATTCCTGGTCTGTTTCTCTTCAAATACTGCTCTTGCCTTGTCCACCCTCTCCTGTCCTTTCGTGATTCCAGTTATACGCCATTAAACGTGTTTCTGTTGTCCCTTTTGTCCCATGTTCTTTTCCATATGTGTCCTCCCACACTTTGGCCTGGATAGATTTTACTGACCCATCTTCAGCTCACGAGTTCCTCTGTGCTCACCTATCCAATCTGTTACTAAATACATTCATTTAGATTTTAATTTTGTTCTTTTTCCTTCTAAAATTTCTTACGTTTTTTAAAATGAATTTCAGTTTCCTGGGAAAGTTTACATTCTTCTTACGTATTTTTTGAACACAGTTATCATGGTTATGCCAAAATCTATATTCGATACCTACACTTATGAGATTCTAAGTGCATCTCTTTCTATTACCTTAGTTCTTGGAAGATTTTAGCGTTTAACGGTAGCAGGCCCCGGCTTTTTGATCAAAAGCCAGAGGGGGCTACGCACCTTCATTCAAAGTGGGCTGAGCCCACCCAGATGGGTTGCCTGTCTCCCGTGGTTCCCCCGCTGGAGAGGGCAGCCCTGTCCCCAGCTCTATGCCTCAGTGTCCCCCACGGGAGGCGTGGCCCCAGGAGGGAATTTCGAAGGTTGGCAAGAAGTCAGTCAGCGTAACTCCTCACCTACCTGACCCAATATAACTTCTAAAAAAAATGTACTGCTTATTTCTGTTAAAAACCACAAATGCATTTCAAATATTTTTTTTTTAAGTTTGAGAGTGTAAAAGTGAGTATAAAAATGTTAACCACAGCAATTGCTATCTCCACAGGTGTTCAAAGCAATGAATATACCACAGATCAGGGACCCCTCTCTGCCTCCCCCAGAGGAGATGCCTGAAGCCTATTCAGCAAAGATCGCTCTGCTCGGGGCTGGGCCTGCGAGTATCAGCTGTGCTTCCTTTCTGGCTCGATTAGGCTACTCTGACATCACTATATTTGAAAAACAAGAATATGTCGGTGGTCTAAGGTAATGCCTGCATTTGTCTCATGTTTATAGTGTCAGAAATCATGGGGTAAAACAACTATGAGCACTGTTGGTTCATAATCGTATAGGAACTTCAGGCTCACAGATGGTATTTGAAATGTTCTTTTTCCAAATGCTCAAATTTTGATTTTGTTATTCAGTTTGAATTTGCAGTTGGCTTTAAGCAATATTTATTTTAAAATTTCTCTGCCTCATTCTGTGAATTTAAGAGAAATCTCAGCAAAATATTTTATGGATAGAGGAACCAATGATATGAAAACTTATTTTATCCCTGTGAATCTTTCCTTTAATGAAGATGTGTCTGGAAATTATGGAACGTGGAGATGGGGAAACCCTAGCTCCATAGAATATTGGGCAGTTCATTTTGTGGGGTAATAGACGTTTTGTCCTGCTCACATTTTCAGTTTTATATTTGATTATGTCAGAGTCTACTAAAAATGTTTCATTTTAATGTACATCCATGCAGTTTATCTCATAAATACCATAAATATAAGAAAACAGTGTTTGATATTAGCCAGTATGATTATTATATACCAAGATTCAGTCACGTGGTCTTTATTTCCATGAAGAGCACTACACTGAAGTGGAAAAATGTCCATTTTGTATCAGTGACTCTCAGCCATTCAAACCGAGCCTAGAAATTGGATGGTGTTTACTTTATTTAAAATACATGAAGCTCTACGGTGAACATAGATCGTGTTTATGACCATAAAGAAATAAAATTTATTATGAGTAGGGAGTGAATATTGCTTAAAATATTTGGTGTAAAAATGAGAAAGTATTTGGGCAGTAAGTTAATAATACCACTGAATTTATTGTTATTTTCCTAAATGTCTCAACTTGCATCAGAAAGAAATGAATTATAAAATACAACCATTCTGCTTATCTGTTGCTATACTTAGCATTAAATTTTGATGGCTACTGAACTGTTATTTAAAAAACACATTTTTCATATTAAATATCACAAATAATAAATGTAATCAAGTTATGGCTAAAATTTGTGCTTATGTTTTATGACACCAAAAAATGAGTGTCAATTAATGTATACATTTCAGTACTGGTCAAAAAACAATATGCTAAAACAAAGACAAACTTACATTAATATAAAACTATTTGACTGAATCATCAAGCAAAAATATTACATAATAGGAAGACCCATAAAAGTAGGTATGAAGCACAGCCCGATTGCCAAGAAATAATTATTTTTCTACCTTGACATTTCAGCACCATGAGTTTTACAGGATTACATGTATTTTATAAATTTCTTTACCCTGGAAAGTAAAATACCTAACATATTACTGTGCTGGAATGAGTTGAACTATCTTTTATAATGGCATTTTACTGCAGCTTTATTAATTTGGAGAAACATAATGTATTAGCAATATATGTATAAACATTGTACATTTTTTTCAATTACACACATCAGCAAATATATGAGCTAATTTAAAAAATATGAACTTAATTGTTGTATACCCTAGTAGACTAGGAAAAATCTTTTTGTCCCTTAATTGCATTTGCACAAGAAGCCTGAAATGGAACAAGCCCTGTTTATGAATTCTCTGTTGACAGTTTCGCTAGATGATTATGGCTGTTAGCATCTCTCTCTTTTAACTCAAATGCAGGATAGGCATTTCTAAATCATATAAATTGGCACTAAACTTATATTTTTATATATTTGCTGAGCATTTTCTAATGGGACAGATTCCCCTGGATTAATGACTAAACATGTTACTTTTTAAAAAATTCTTTATTGATTTGTTTCCTTTCCCATGCCCTCAACTCTCCCCGGTCCCTAGGGACAGGCTGAAGCGCTTTATCGGTCTCCTTTGGACCGTCCTGCGGCATAGACAGGCACTGTGTGCCGCCGTCACAGAATGAGAGACGCTGGCCCTGGAATTCAGCCAGAGGTGCGGCCACGCCGCTCTTCTGTTAATTTATTTTCTCTCTCACAGATGTCCCTCCTTCTCTTGTACCTTCACAGTGGCTAAAAACGATTAAATTAGCTTTGTATTTGAAATCAATTGCTTAAAGAGGTGATGTCAAGTTGTATCTTTCTTTTTCCTTTTCATCCAAATAGATTCTTTTATCCCTGGTAAATTGGGGTCCCGACTACTTCGTACAAAATCACTAGAGTTGGTGGAGGAGACCAAGGACTTAATCCCTATTGTATTGAACACAACCAATTGATTATTGTTGATGTTGCAATGAATTTATAAAATAAGCAGTAGTTCTGCTTTTTTCCAACTGTGGCTCCTTTGTTCAGGACATGAATTTAAAATGGGTAAAGGGCTTGCTATTATAACGGCATGGATAAGGAAAGATGGTGTTAACAGGTTTTAAGAGATACACACATACATACATACATACACACACACACACATACATACACACTTAAATCTCTCTCCATGTCCATCAAGACAGGGCATCTGTTGGTGTTCACATTGCAATCTGTGACATTTGCACACAACTCAGCCCTTGAAGGTGCTGGGAGGAAGGAACCTCCTCTACCCTCTTAGGTCCAGTGGCCGGGCCTGTGCAATAAACCGAAAAGAGACAGATTAACTGAGTTTATCAACACGTGTGTCAGGCATGCACATGGGGGACCTCAGTGACCCGGACGGGTCTGAACTTGAGGTGTACGTAGCATGTTCACAAAGAGCAGTGATCTGTGGGGAAGTGACAAAACAGGGGAAGGGAGTTCGGGCCGGCCTGCAGCGGGCAGGGCAGGCGGCAGGCAGGCAGCGTGGGAGGGCCTCTCCCGGGAGGGCGGGGCTCCTCAGGTCTGCAGGTGAGAGCCCCTTGGAGCCCCTCTGCGCAGAGGCGTCTGGAAGCGTCTGCTGGGGATCGAGAGCTCTGCGCTTCCCGCACGGATGGGAGACACGCCTCTGCTGTTTACGTCCCGCTGTCGGGCAGAGAGCTTTCCAGGTTGTGCCTGCTGTTTCTCAGTTGCTTTGAGCTCAGAGTAATCCTTAGGGCAAAGTGAGATTTTGGGGAGGAACATTCTGTTAGGTCACACAGACCAGGGCTCCCTGTGCCTGAGCAGTGTGACCTCTTCTGAGGGCTGGGCTGGAGCTGACAGGTCAGCTTGCGAGATTCTTATCACAGACCTAGGCCCGGATTCCTTCTTACGTGCGATCGCGCACGCGCACCCTAGCCAGGCAGAGAGCGCGCGCTCCGTTCGGGCCCCGAGTTTACACTGCGCACTACTGTGTGCTTTCTGCCGCCCAGCGCGTGGGGTCTTGCTGATCGTTTGATGCACAGAAATGAACTGAATGATCCAGTTCTCAAGCCACCACCCAGTGGCAGGGTGCCGGTGCGCCCCGGAGGACGCAGCAGCTTCACCGCCAGCGATTCCGTGCTGTTTCACGGTCTCACCTCCCAGGGGCCCGGATAAAGGCCTCCCACTACAGGTGCTGCATTCCGTTGCCAGGCTCTGTTTTCGGAACTTTCTCCAGCCGGAGGAGAGCTCATTAAAAGTGGGAATTTGGTAAAATTCGCCATCAAATCACAGTAGCTAACCCTGCGCATGGCACTTTGTAAATGCTTGTTAAATGAAAAAATAAATAAGTAAAAAACATAGTCTTTTTATGACTGTAAGACATTGAAAAGTTAATTTTGCTTACCTTGAATTGTTTAAACTATTATGGCATTGAAATATATTTTAGGAATCATTTTATTTTGTTTGTTTGATTTTGTTTTAAGTGCAGGTGGTGAGCCTGCACTAATATGACTTATTTATGACTGTATCCTTTTGGGGCACTTACTGCTTTCGTAGAAGACGACGGGTTTTCTATAAAAATGTTCTATGGGTCACCGGGAGCGAAGTTCGTGAGGCCCGAAAGAGCGCAGCAGCACCCAGCCACAGGTGTGAAGTTGCACGAGCTCTAGCGGCAGTTTTCAGCCTTTCCACCTCATGGCGCCTAAGCTCATTGCTAAGATTCCGTGGTGCACCAAACAATATGTTTTTTTCGAGCCTCATAAAAAATAGGTGTAATTTTGATTCATTCACACCAGACGGCTACTGTGTTGGCTGTTGTCATTTTTTTAAATTTTACAGTCTGAGGGAAAAGAGGTCAGTGCCCCTCCCTGAAGAGTCAGTTATTGCATGTTTTAAAATTTCTCATGACACACGGGTTGAAAAATCACTGAGCTACAGGTATATTTAAAGACTATATATAAAGCCATGTATATGTATATATGAATGTGAAACATTTAGCTATACTTTCAACTAATTTTTAGTATTTAAGATGGCTTTTGTAGGAATTTCTTACAAAGTTACTAGTAGATAAATCAACCGAATATTTTAATAAACTTATAGCTTTAGAAATGTTTTTGGCCAATTCTCTATTATTTGTTTTCCATTGTTTACATTTATTTATAGTCACATCAGTTTCTACTATTTCTCCTATAGCCCATATAATATTTTATTGTGCATATAAAAATGTGGATGTCCTCACTGGTCTCAGATATGTGATATGTAAAGACCCTTAGAAGAGACACATAGTCCTTTAATGTTGATCAGAAAGATATGTTGCATTTTTAAGACTGGTAATTTTTCAACAAATGCTTTCTCTTTTTTTTTTAGTTCTTCTGAAATCCCTCAGTTCCGGCTGCCATTTGATGTTGTGAATTTTGAGGTTGAGCTTATGAAGGACCTCGGTGTGAAGGTAAATGAACATCTTAGTACATGTGTATCATTCAGAGAGAGGAGTAAGCTCCACACTAAAGATGAACAGCAAAATGTCCCACGCTTTAGGCAAGAACAATTAAAAGCTACACCAGGCAGAAGCAGAAAGATGCTTCCCCTTGCTCAGGGCGTTTGTCTGTATCCTGTCTGAATGCCACCAGCCCGGGAAAGGGCAATCAATAGTTCTCATCTGGCATGCCTGCATGTGATTAATTGTCTGTAAGAAACAAATTCCTCAATTGCTTTAGGGGTTCAGTGCAGCTGATAGAAGGATTTGGTTCCTTCAATCACGTTTGTTTTTTTTTGTTTTGTTTTCCCATGCAAGTTGTGTGCGCTCTGCAGCATGCGTATTTCCCAATGTGGAACGTAATTTCTTGCAGGGGTTTATTTTGTTTATTACATGAATCACGTCAGTAGTGTTAATGTGATAATCCTTCCTCAGCCTAAGCAATGGATCAGTGGGGCAGAATACCACAGCTTTGTATTTTTCAAATAATGCGGTGTTCTCGTATAGATGGTCAGAGTTGACACGTCGTACTTTTAGTGTACAGCTTTAGATCTTTCTATTCTTTTCTATTATTTAAGGGTATTATACTCTGGCTCTTCCTTTGAATATATTGCTATTTTTTGTTTCAAAAGTGTTGATTTTTTATAATAGATCTAACAACAGATAAAGGACTCTGATTTACATAATACATTCTGCAAGCACATGCAAAGATATTTTGAAAAGTGATTAACAAACTACTTACGGCTCTTGCATTTAGAAATAAAAATAATCACTAAAAAGGGAAGCACTGAAAACAATATTTTGTGCTTTTACACTTCCAATTACATTTTATTTGGCAGCAGTTCGGTAATGAAACATTTACACATAATCACTAAACAAAGTCTTACAGCAAGAGCACAGCTTTATGAAAACTCAGTGTCCAAAACAGGTTATTTAGTAATGATTTTTTTTTTTGCATTATAAAAATATATTTTGAAAAGTTCTCTATATACCCTCCATTTTGAATGCAAGTTCATAACCTAAATCTCATTAAATAAGGACATTATTATTTATTGAGACTTCAAACTAAGATGTTAGGTGTTGAAGGTTGAAGATTAATCAGAAATTAATGTAAGGCATTTCTAAATGTATCTTAATTGCATTCAGTGCTTGCAGTACCAGGACATACACGTTGCTCTTATTAGGTTAACTCTTCAAAAGACACGGTCAATGTGCTGAGTGTCAGAAAACATACACCTTTGCGAGCATCTTGCTACTTTTCTGATTTTGTAGTCAGATCACCTGGACAAAGTCACTGTCGCTAGTTTTGGTCACTTCGTTCACAGGAAAATGTGCGGCACCCAAGTTGGGGCATAACGAACTGACCTGCCCTCGTGTGCAGGGAGTGTCTCTGGAAAGACGAAAGGGTCTGAGAGCGCACAGTGCCCTTGGGAAGGTATGGCAAGGCTTGGTCAGCTTTTCGTCTGTTTGCATTTTAAACCCACTGAATTTATTATATTACCAAGAAAAAATCAGAACATAAATTAAAGAGGAGGTTAATACTACCTTGCCCACGTCCAGTTGTTTTAAGATACAAAGCAGATGAAGTGTTGAAACTGGCTTTGTGAACAGTCAATTGCACGAGCGGTTCCGAGGAGAAGGGGCAATGAAGTTCTCTGCCGCCTTTGAGAACTTGCATCCATTGATGAGATGCTACAGCTTCATGACCTGTCCACTTTAACCGGAAGAGGATACGTTTTAAAAAGTGGTCTATACTTGTCTCCTCCGTTTCCTCATTGCCAGATTCTTCATGCCTGGCCTTGTGTTTGTACCTCTCAGTTAACATTACGTATTTTAAAGTCAACAATAACTTTCTGGCTATGAAGTGAATTGTACTTTAGGTCCATTGTGGTTCACTCCTGTGTAGAATATGATGCATTCTCATTGTGTGTGCATGTACTTGTGTGTGTTTCGGTGTAGGTCTAGCATTATCTTGGTTTTTATTTGCATTTTTGTTTTGTTTTTGTTTTTTTCTTTTTCTAATGGGTTTGTTTCAGTTATTCAACAACTAATTATGGAGAACTCGTTTTTGCGAAGTAGTGTGCTAAGGGCTAGTCTAGAACCATCCTTCTTTTGAACTCTAGTCCTGTATTCTTGATAGTTTAATGAACACATCTGTCACCCAAATAACATACACTCATCATATCCAGAACTGAGTTTAATTCATCATCTTCACTACCAATGATGTTCTTTAGCTAAATTTCCTATTGAATAATTTCAATTTATTTCATATGTAATGTCTTGATAGATTGGTTCTTGTTAACACTAAGATGGATTTTTCAAGTCAACTCTGTGTCACAAGAAAATAATGAGAATGTTATCTGCTCTTTGTATATTATATGTCATTTCCCTTCCACGACTTCATTGGCTGGAATTTCTAGTATGTGTTAAAGGAGTGATAACCTATGATATCTTTCTGTTCTCTGAGATAGCAGTTTTTAATCATATCGAATGAATATTTTTTAGACTTAGAATATTAAAATTTTATTTAGTGTTTTTTTTTATTTTAATGGAGAAGGCGTGTTAAGTTTTTTAATTAGTAAAAAACCTATCTTCAGCTAGTGTATTGAGTTATGTTAACCTTTGTACACTAGAATATATCCACCTAGTGCCATGTTTTATTATGGCTGTGCATATAGAACGGGATTTGTTTTGTTAGCATTCTTACACATTTCCTTTGGCACTCACTTACTGAGGACATGAATATTAAAACTGGAACTGTAGCAGGGAACAGTAAAATAGTGTTGCTCTCCTTGTAGATTTTCAGATTTACTGAAACCCTGCTTTTGTTTGTCTTGCTTTACTTTTGTTATCTTCATGAATTTGGGTAATAGAATAATGCGAGCCCTAGCCTCATAAAAATAAACTTCCCAGCATTTATTTACCTTATTGTTGGTAAGAATAGAATCTTGAGACTCACATTAAATTTAAGGATTTTATCCTTCTGACCTGAAAGCCTTTTTATGAGACAGAACTTTGACCTTTTCTTTTTTCATATGGTTATTAGCCTTCTCACCTATTTTATTCTCATATCTACTTGGCTAATATATATTTTCCTAGAAAAAATTACGTTTCATTCAGAATTTTAAGTGAATTAGCATAGATCTGAACATGTTATTCCAATATACAATGAAAGTATCTCATCTGTACCTGTAATTATATTTGCTTCTGTATTCCTAAGCTTGCACATTGCATTCTTAACTTTTCTTCTTGATAGGACTAGATAGTGGTTTGTAAAGTTAGTGTATTCTCAAAAAAAACAGCTCTCAGGGTTTTATGTTTCCTTGTTCACTAATTGCTAAGTTTATCTTTATTAATACTTTGTCTGCTATCCTTACAATGTATTTGTTATTCTTTTTTAACCTCTCAAGTTATATATTTACTTAATTTGTATTTTTCTAGGTTGAATAATGAAACCCTTTAAAATTATTAATTTCTCTCTGAACAGAACCTTGTCAGCATCCATATATTTTTATTACTATTATTATTATTTCTCTTCAGTAACCCTAGTTTTGTTTTTCCCTTTTACTCAGAGTTGTTGAGGATGATATTTTTATATAAAGTCTTTTGATAGAATTCAGATTTGTATGTGTTTACATATCAGCCAGCTATACGGTTTTTTATTTGTCAGGTATACTCAATTGCTTTCACATCAAGGGATCATTTCTAATAAAACTATTTTTTCTTTAAAAGAAATAGTCTTGTAGCCATTACATTTTTCTAAAATCTCTCAATTTTATTGTAAAGATTTCAATGCAGACTGCTGCAGATTATTTTTAACTTTAGGTGGCCTTAAATAAAGTCTGTGGTGACACTTGTGCCAGGTGATGTTACTCATCTTTCCGATGAAATGCCCTCTTTTGTTTAACAATTCAGAATAGGCAGGTATGAATACTTTTGTTTCATAGTGGTTATAATATTTCTAATGGCTTTAATTTTTAAAGCTAATAATGTAACTGCATAAAGAGCTTGCATTTTTAAAATAAGTTTAAGACATGTATTTTCCACTTCTCAGAATAGTTTGATAAAACTCTGTTTTGATTAAACTTAACTTGTAATGGCTGCCATTTCCCCTGCTTCCTGGCCTGACGGAGGTCCCTCTGCGGAGGCGCCCAGCCCAGTGGGCCGCAGCGGGTGGGCCGAGGTCTCCCTCCTGACGGCCTCTCTCCATCCTCTTGTTCTCGTCATGGTTCTCTGAAGGAAGTGTTTCATTGTGATACGCTGCTGTTGGAAAACTAACATAAACTCTTCCATCTGCCCCAGGAGAGAAATGCGTTCAGTGACAGTTGACAAATAATTGTCATTTCTAAAGAAAGCTAACTATTTTAATACCTCTTCCAGCTCATGTCCTGCCCTAGAGATTCTGGAAATATTTTCTCTCTTTGGCCAAATATCCTATCAGAAACATGTGAAGAGCCCAGGCATTATTTTCTGTGTATCTGTATACTGGGTATCACATAGTTCATGAAAAGAAAGAGTTCCACTCCAAAAACAGCCGTGAGCCTTTCTCCTACATTATAAATCGTATTCTACGTATGCATACATGTTGCGGATGTACAAAGGAAGCTGTCATCAGTCCAGAGTGGATAGTAGGTGGAACTTCGGGTGAGGGCTTATTAGAGTCAGCCCTTACAGTGGATTAGTAAGGACTCGTACGCTGTGATTGAAGTGGGATGAATTTTATTCTGAATTTAGCTAAGAAGTTTGAGTGCCCAGGCATATGTCACTAAAGCCATCCGGGGAGGGTATGACACATTCTATAATCCACATCTGCAAATATCAAGATGGCAAAGTATTACATATATAAAAGTACGGGGGGCTAAAGAACAAAAACGTGAGCAAAATACCCACCAGTGGCTTTCGGAACACCGTTTCCGTTTAACAGTTACTGCCGGGTTTCCCAGGGGCGCCGCCACAGGGATGTTTCTGTCGTGTGTAGCTAGTGCAGCCGAGCTGTGCACGTCTCTGCCCGAGTTCTCGAGGCTTAATAATACAGGCAGAGTTTCGGCTTTCTTCGTCAAAATACCTTTCTTCGCGTTCTTTGTGACTGGCACACGTTCGGGAGTCTGAGGTTTATTAATGGGAAACCTGACCAGGTGCCCGGCACAGAGAGGCAGAGTCCCGGTGCCTCTCAGTCCCCTGACGCTTGTTGTCGTCAGTGCGTTTCATTAGCTGCTTGTCTTCCCAGTTTTTGAGACATGAGAGTGTAATTCAGCTTGTTTCCTTCCCCAATTGCACACACGACCGCCCACTGGGGTGGTCGCGGGCCGTGGAAACACAAACACCCCACGCCTCTTTCCTGCGCGTCGCCAACGCTGGGACATGCTCACTCCACGGGGGTGGAGGGCGGAGGAAGTCGCCACACTCGCTTAATAAAGCGCGTGCGCCACAGCCAGAGGCATTGGCTGCTGTGCGCACGCGCCCCTGCACGCACGCACGCACGCACGCACGCACACCCACCTTCACACCTTCACCCCTTCACCGGAAGGGCGGGAGGTCTTTCTGGAATAGCCTCTGTGACGCAGCAGGTGAACGACAAGGGATGTGGAGGCAGCGTCCTGAGGTCACTGCCGCCGACCCCCCGCAAGGTGCCCGCTTCTCAGCCACAAATGCGTTCTTCTCTCTGAGCAAACGTACGTACAGCGCTTGGACCTGTAATTTTTTTTTATGTCCAGCCTTTATTATGTAGTGGCATCGAGCATGTTTATTCCATGAAGTAAACAGTAGAACTTTGTTTTTCTGAATGATCAGAAAGAGCGTAATAAAAGGTCTATTCTTAAAAAGCTGTAAGAAGTCAAAATTGTAAAGCCTCAGAACTACATTTAGTATATGCTAACCCTGCTGATTCTAACGGTAGTGCACGTTAGTGGATTCTTAGTATTAGTCACTGTTAATAGTGGGTGTAATGTTGCGGTGTATTCTGTGGCTTTTGGTAGGTTCCAGAGCGCTGAATGTGAGTTTTTCATGACACCTGGGTTTTCCCCGGCTTCTGACCGTCCAGGCGGTCGTTCCGTCTGGCAGGATAAGAACACAGTTATGGTTTGGGGACACACAACAGTCCTGTAAGGCGCGCGCCCGGCCGCCGCCCTCCCTGCTCCCTCTCCGCTTTGCTTTGCTCTTCGTGCTCCAGAAACGCCACCTGTTCGGTCGTAGGTCCCCACGTATCCCGTGTGTTCTGAGCCCTGAAGGGGCTGCCAGTCCTGCCCGTTATTCTCCCTTGAACCTTGTGCTGCACAGACCAGAGACCAGTGTGGGGGCGTCCCCAGCAGACGAGTCTAATGTCTTGAGTGACGGTGAACCCTGGGTCTGGGATCTCGTGGGCTGACTGGGAGCCAGGCCTCAGCCAGGCTCCAGTTTTGGCCTCATCCCTGCAGGTCCCCGTCTTCAGGAGTCAGTGTGTCGGCACCAGGGAGGAGCGTGTGTCCAGTGTCCCTGAAACGCGGGGTTACGTCCTTTCCCCACTGCACAGTCACCGCGGCAAATGGCCGAGTGCCCTTTGCATGAGGGCCGGGGAGGTCACTGCAGCACTTGCCCGCCAGGCTGTCACTGGGTCCCTCTTCGGAGGACCGGGCCACCTCTGCCGTTCTAGGGTCCAGATCTGAAAACTGTCCCATGTCTGGGAACGAAGCGAACCATTGTGGCTTTTAAAAGGGCTGAGTCCCCTCTACTTCCTGAATTCACTCGTCTCCCCCGGTCAGTGATCCCGGTCAAAACCCTATTCCTCCTGTGAGAAGGTCCTGTTGAAATCCTGCTGTCTCTCTCGGTCTCGCCTGTCATCTTTACGACCTCGGGCAGAATGAAGCTCTCGTCCCCTGGGTTCCCGCAGACTTGGAGCGGTCACACTGTGTTATGTTTATTTAGGTACACCTTCTGCACAGGTCTCGCCATCGGGGCAGGACCTGTCTCATTTCTCATTTCGTCATGTAAAGTGCCCGCGCGTAGGGCCGAGAACGTATTAACTGAGCTATGAACCGTCACTCGCTTGACTTTAAATCACTAGCTTTCCCTTTGCTACTTCATTAAAAGGCACAAAGTGCATTTGGCCCTTAAGTACAACCTGTTAGTGTTGCACTTACACACACTAATTTGTGTGTAAGCTTATATACTAACAGACAACAATATTTCAACGTGTATGGAATTTTATGTGTATCCAGTTTCTGGGTTTTTTTTTGATGTTGAAGATCAAGATTTTATTAATCAGATGTCAAAGTATGATTATTCACATGTTGATTCACATGTTGTTTCCTATAGATAATTTGCGGTAAAAGCCTTTCAGCGAATGAAATGACTCTTCACACTTTGAAAGCAGAGGGGTACAAAGCCGCTTTCATCGGCATTGGTGAGTAGCCTACTTTTAATTTTGTGTTGTATAATATTTAAAAAAATTTCCTGAAAGTGTCCAGAATAAGTGCCTGCAGGCATGTCCACGGTCAAAGCTGTGTCTGTTCAGAGAACAGCAGACAGAGGGGCGGCCAGGGAAACTGTTCTGTGACAGGGTGCCGCCTGCCCGCAGGTGCGGGCGGCTTCGGTGAGGCCGCGTTTTCCTCCCTGCTCGCTCCCAGGCCATCGTCAGCGGTGAGTGGCTCCAGGAGGTGCAAGGTCCTCAGGTCGTGTCCTGGTTGCTCAGCACTGGGGCTTTGGGATGTTGAGCTGCTCCCGCTTTCTCTTCATGATAAAACAAATGAGCTACGTTCATAATCGAGGACAGCGTTGGTTTGTCTTCTTGGTCCATTCATTTTTTTTCAAAATTTCCTACAGAGTGTCCACATCTGGCTGAATTTTAAAGATGTGTAACCATAGTTCTGAAAGCCACATGTTCAATGTGTAGCTCCTGAAGCATGTCATGGGTCTGTGCTTCCATATTTTGCCAAAATATCCCAGGGAGGTTGAGTTTTCGAGCACCGTCCTCTGTCCACATATTGTTTACTGAGGAACCGGGGAGAACAGTGGGTTTAATTTATTCTTTGTCTCGTGAACTTGTGTTCACTCTCTTGAATGATTGTGCCGTGGAGAGTTAGGGGCATGTGGACCGAGTGGGCTTGTCGTGGCGTCTTTTCATTTGTCTGCCTCCTCTTCAGTATCTCCCTCAGTTTACACGCTCTGACTGTCAGTATTAGGTGACAGACCTGCTCAGAGAGGAGAGCGGTTCCGTCTCGTCCGTGCCCACGCGCCGGGCAGCGTTTCGGGGCCGGGGGCCCGCCTGTTCTCCCGCCGTTTCCGAGCGAGCCCGTCCGGGCTCCTTAGCCTGCGTGTGTCCTCCCCGCGATGTCCCGCCATGTCTTCCTAGACAGTGGCGTCCATGTCCAAGCCCGTTTCTGTCACTCCCTCTGTTTAGAGGGAAAGTTACCGAGAGGAAGACATTTTTGGTGTTTCCTCGTTTCTAGGTGTCTGCATTGAGCTTCCTTTCTTCCTGAATTGAGTGCCACTGTTGTCCCTGTTTCTCTCTCATCTTCGTGTAAGGACAGATGTCACCGTCCAGATCAGCGACAGAGGAGAAAAGGTCTCCTGTTTCCTCCGGGTTCCACTGTTAGAGGCCCTGTAGTGACTCTGCCTTTGCTTTTCAACTCGACAGTTGTGTTGAGGGTTTAGCACAAATAAGGCAGCTGTCTATCGAGTATGTCCCACTGGTGACAACATCTGCAGTGTTGGGTCAGTGTGTTGCTGTTGCTCTCGACAAGCACCTGTTCCGAAATGCTCAGTTAATAATAAATGGAAGATCTAGTCAGGAATAAGAATGTTGATCTTTTCAAATTTGAAACTCACCATGGCGGTTTCCTACAGCAGTCGTATGCAAGAGATGTGTTCCTTTAATGCAGTTGTGTATGAAACGCAGCTCTGTATTTCTGTGGACGTTGCCGACAAAGGATCTCTGTGCTGAAGACATGGGGGCCAAATAAATAACCAGTACATTGAAATATCTCCAACTCAATTGCATAAGAAACAAAGTATAACAAAAATTTGGAATAATGAAATGGCTTGTCACTGAGTGGTTTCAGCTGTAGCACTATCTTTTATGTGTAAGAATCAATAGTGGTTCATTTTTTTCCTTTTATTTCATTCCATTAAGTCCCCATACATATGTTATTTGATCATTCTGTGCCCGTTCACGATACTCCATTTGACTCGGTAACGCGGTGTGAACACAGCGTCAAAAATGCGGAGACCTTTCCTGTTTGTGTTGTGGTTCATTTTCATGCTGGGAAGTGAATCCTTTGACATTTTGGTGTAGTGATGTGTAGAGCACCGTTCTGTTCTCTTTCAGTATTTTTATATGAATATACACAAGAAAGTTTCATCTTGTCAAAAAAAACAAAAAAACAAAAAAAAAAAGCTCCTCTCTGTGGAAGACAAGCAGCCTGACCCTGCAGGAATTGTTTACTTGACACTCTGATTGCCGAGGTGGGATGTTACGACCTTTCCATGGCCAGGTCGCTGCCTGTCACTTGGACAGCCTCCCGTCCTACCTGCTTTCGTTTGTTTACCGTGCTCCCAGGGCATCGCTGAAGTTCACTCGCTATTGCATCGGCCTCTCCCACTCGGCGGGGGGAAGGCAATTTTGGAATGGGAATTGTATATTATTTAGGACACAGGCCTGGCCGTGTGAAGAAAGGAAAATAGTAGTGGCTTAAACAAAACGCACGTTTAGTTCCGTTACTCCCCATGGGAGCCATCCTCTGTGCCTGCCTCTCGTCTGTGGCCCGTAGGGGGCTCCTTGGTCCACACGGCGTCTAACAGACAGGGGAACCAGGGCATGGGCCGCCTCTCCCTTTACGTTCATGACCCAGGAGTCACTATTACAGACGCAGTGATGCGAAGCTGACACTTTAGCTGGGGACAGCTGCCTACACTGAAGCATCTGACTTAAAATCTGGAATGCGGGACCTTACACTCTGCAAAATAGTCTTTATTAATTCTTAGTCTCTCTTTTCTCATTGTTGCCACCAACTGCTGTTTTTTTGGTTACCATCAGAAAAGGATAGTTTTGAACTATAATTCCCAAATATTGTAACAGCTGAAGAAGAGATCATTACAATTAAGAAAATCCATTGAGAGAGTGTGCTATTAAATTTGCTACAGTGTGGCCTTTATTTAAATCTCTTGTGCCTTCTTAGAGCCAGAATTCTTCTCTGTCAAAGTTATTAATTAGCTTCTTAATCAGGAGTTTCTAAATTGTACACAGTCAGATATACTTTCTATTTCTCTGGAAGAAAATGGAATAAGGATGTTAGACCACCCTTTTTACTTCTGTCCACAGATAAAAACTGAAGTTGTTTAGGGATTATTTGCACAATTCTGAGTAGATTATTTTAAAATAATAACTCTGACTTAATTTTAAGCCAAAAAAAAAAGAAAGAAAAAGAAAAAAATGATATGGCTATTTTACCAATCCACTTTAAAAAAAATTGTAATATTGTCTAATCTAGTGTCACTTGTAAGTACTTGGGCATAATTGGGAGGTGGCTTCCAAGAAATCAGAACTGAGGGAAATGGAATTCCAGCTGAGAGTTCATTAAATCACCACTTAATGAGCTCAGCAAAGCCCCCAGAAGGAGATAAAATAGATGTAGGGCAATTATTCTTTGATCGTATTAGCATATCTATAGAAAGTGCATCTTAATTTGCAGAGTCAGGTAATAGGGACTGGTCACCTTTACGAGCACAGAAAGGCAGGGGAAGAGCATCTGTGGGAACATTGGCTGTCCCATATCATGGAGACAAACAGGTAGATCCCTGTCAAGACCTCCCGTTCGCCTTGTTGTGCTTCCAGGCTCTCCCGGCTGACGTGGGTTCCGAAGCCGTCGGCTCTTGTTGGGATGCAGCGCCAACCCGGGCTGTGCGTAGTTTTGGGCCCTCTGCTGGTTGTCTTTGTCGCCCAGGATCACTCCGCTCCTCCTAATAATATAATATGTTTCACTGAATTTATTGGGGTAACATTGGTTCACAGAAGCCATCTAGGTCTCAAGCGTACAACTCAACAAAACATCATCCGCGGACGGCATTGTACACTCATCGCCCCAAGCAGGTAAAAGGCCTGTCCTCGGAAAAGTATAGGATATTTAAGAAAGAAATTGAGGAAGTTACAAATCAATGGAGGCATATACCGTGTTCATGGACTGGAAGAATTAACATTATTAAAATGCCCATACTCCCCAAAGCAATCTATAGAGTCATCGCAATTCCTGTTAAAAATATCAATGGCATATTTCACAGCTCTAGAACAAATATTCCAACAGTTTATACGGGACCGAAAAAGACCCTGGAGATCCTCAGCAATCTTGGGAGAGAGGAACAAAGTCGGAAGGGTCACAATACCTGATATCAAGCTACACTCCAAGGCCACTGTAATGAAAATGGCCTGGCACTGGCATAAGAACACGCACATAGGTCAGTGAAACAGAGCAGGGAGCCCAGGAATAAACCCACTGCAGCCAATGAATATTTGACAAAGGAGGCATTCCACTTACTACTGCAGCAAAACATAAGGTACCTAGGAATAAGTTTAACCAAGGAAGTGATGCGGTACTTTAATATAAAGAGCTAAAAAGAGATGTGCACCGATCAAATATGCTTTCGTGGAGCGCCCCCTTTATTTATAACGGGGCGCCTCGGGGTCTCTGGGGTCCCAGGGCGTAGGTGTCAGTTCCACCCTTTTCGGTGCTGAGAGACTGTGCCCAGGGTGCGTGAGCAGCTTGCCTGGGGCACCTAAGGTTCTCCAGGCCAGAACTGAAACCCCAGCCTCGAGGTTCTCCCTGCTTCGCAGCACTGCACGCAGGGGTCCTGGGAGTGAGGCGGGGCCCATGGGCGTCAGGGGGAGCCAGGGGAGGCAGTCATTGCTGTCGTTTTGATGGAGAAATCGGAATTCATTTTGTGGCAAGCTGAAGAAGTAAATGAGAAACAAAAATTTTAAATGATACTTAGGGGCTCAAACTAGGGAAGAACTGAAGAGAGCAGAAAAGAGCAGCTTGGCAAACATGTTTGTTTTTGGAAGCTGTGCGAATACTTGTGCTCACTAATAGAGAAATGGTTTGGTGGGGATGGGAAGGATTCCGAGGTGGGACATGTCAGCCTAGTGAGTTCACTTTCCTTTGGGGACGGGGGTCAGAGGAGACGGGGTGGGGCGGAGAGAGAGGGAACGAGAACCTTCATTCGCCTCCTGACTCTCACACACACAGGAAAATATAAATGAGAAGAGGAAACTGCAGAATAAAGTAGTGAAATAAACTGTTACTTAACTAATTTTATATTTATAGCTGGCTTTAATACTAGTTTCCTTTTATGGGAAAACAAATAAGAGAAAATGCAGCATTTTATTGTAACAAAGGGAACAAGAAGGATGAC